ACGTAGATTTTGAGAGTTCGGAATCAGTAATTCGACTTCTGAGTGAGACTGTCAGAGACGAGCACCAATTCAACAAAATGAATGAAATGTTTCACTCATTCGAACTCCGGCAGACGAAACCATTTTTACAGCGCGCGGATTTTGACCCCGAAATTCCGGCAGCTTTTGAGTCTCAAAAGCGAACTTTTGACATTCTCAATAGCTACAGAGCACATTTTGAGTTCAGCGTTCTTCGAAGAATTAGAAAATTTAAATTTAAAGCGAATCTGACAAGCCGCTGCCTTCGAGGCTAAGCACTCGTATCGTATCCCATTCTTAAGGTAGTGCGTTTTAAAATCGTATACGGGCTAAGTTGCAATATGTTACCTGCGTGATGAAAACGTTTGTATTTCGACTGAAAACATATTAGTGTGATAAATAAACAACAACTTCATCTTTGCATACCCATTTATAGTTGCTGTAAAGTCCAGCTGCCGAAACGCAAACGTCTGTTATAAATACTCATTTGTAGCTCGTTATAAAGATATATTTATATTTTGTTCATGCAAAGCAAACAAAAATTTCTTCGTTTGGAAGTTGAAAGTTCAAGATTGGAGGTGTATCCTAAAAGAAGTTATCTTTTGCAGGTTTCAATACTTAGATCTGGGCCTGAATGCAGGAGTGATATCAATTACCTTTATTTCTTACTTTGGGATATTTTACAAAGTTCGAAGAATGGGCCGCGGATCGCAGGTATCAGATTATCAACTGTATTCCTTCGAACTGCTATGCGAGTGTCTCACCTTACGAAAGATAATGTAGGCGAAAAATTATTTTTCAGTCCATCAAAAAAGAAATGCGAATCCTCAGACAGTCCGCGAGAACTTCCCGAGGACTTGAGGGACTACCACCGTGTCATTTCGTTTATCACAGAGCCCAGAGAGAGATGTTTTGCAAATATGTCTTCCGGAAGTTCCGGAACTTTCTAAGGATTTAAACTGCAAAACTTCCCGAGGGCTTTGGGTGGATCTTTGCGTAATAATAAACTTGCTAATTCATGCCAAAGCCGCTTATTTCTGCTTCTCAAACTAAAAACATAAACTAGATGATCTCAATATTATTGACTGTAGGAGTATCAGATATAGCTTATGTACGAAGTAATGGCGGTGGAAACATCTTTGATCATTTTTTCGAAGAAAAACCTACAGTATGATGACTGAGGAATGGTCTCATAATGACTATGCAGTAGGACAGACAGTGAGGTAATCGAAACAGTGAAGAAATTAGATAAATGCCCAACGTAAGTATGAAAACAGTTGATAAATGATAACCGCATTATGGTGAACAGAATAGAAGAAAGATTATACAGGGTTACGCCAAAATCGTAAGTCTTCGTTTTCTATTTCAATTTTTTCCGCAATGGGATAAAAACAAGCTTTTTTCAACTTTTTTAGTAACAATGTAGTCGAACTCGTTTCCATTGTAATAGCTCAGAAAATTTCCCAAACTATCGCTTTTGCACTGCGCAACTTAGGCTGATCTCAAAATTTTCATTTCGAGATTAGCCACAGTTGCGTTGAAGGTTTTGAGGAGAATTCAACTGCATAAAGACTAAAACAAACCTTTTTGAGTGCAATTTTTTCTACTTTCGCGAACTAACCTTTCGAAACTATTGAAAGAAGCTTTGTTTCAAGAAATGAGCCTTACGAAATTCTATTCGCAGTATTAGAAACTTGACCATCTTTATTGTAAACGTGATCATCTGTATCATTCTATACGTGCCGCTCTTTGTGATTACTCCTGCAACTTCGCAGCCTCTTTTAGAGGATGCTTGCACGTCTTGGGGCCGCATGCATTAACGGGGAGGGGATCGCAGCTTAAAAAAAACTTTTATACCCTGAAGCTCCAGATCCTAGATTTCAAGGTGTTTACCTATCCATAAGTATTATCACTTTCCTCTGCTATGGACATATTGAACAGGAGCGAGAAGCTATACAAGCTGCATTTTCCAGTTTTTATAAGATCCCCTGATGATTCCTGGCGGCCTACCGCCTTTTCTTCAAAGTCTTTTTTTTTCAAAGTTAATGAAAATGTGCCAAAGTTTCGCTGAATATCTAACCTTACAGTGCTAAGCATGTTTCTGGTAAGAACAAATGAGTTTTTGAAGTATCGAATTTTTTCGAAACTTCAACATTCGACTCGTGGTTCATCGCAAATATGACTCCAAAACATCATTTGTTCTTATCAATAACATGTTTAGCACTGTTGGGTTAGATAATCTGTACAAACGACTTTGGAAGGTTTTCGTTAGACTCGGAGAAAGAAAATTGACTTAAGAAATGATGGTCGGCCACCGGAGATTATCAGAGGATTTCCCCTGTAATGTACGGCGTGAAATCCAGATGTCTGGAGTTTCAGGATATGAAGCTTTCTTTTAAGCTGCGATCCCCTTCCCCGCGGGGATGTTAATGCATGCGCCCCTTGATGGGTTTAGAGCTTCTCGCCTTCTCAAGATTTTCTGTCATATTCAACTTCCTACGTTCAAGGATATCTTCATACCGCGCCGAAAGCCGCCGCTAGCAGCCCGTAGCAGCCCATAACAGCCGCCAGCAGCCTGTAGCCGCCCGTAACCGCCGATGACCGCTTTTTTTCACGGTAGCGCAAAATCATCAAGTTCTCACTACTTTGAGCGCACTTGCTTAAGCTTTTAATTTTTTCCTTCCTGAGCATACTGGTATATATCTCGTCTCAAAAGCACACGGTTTGTTTCCTTTGTAAGAAGACTTCTGCAAAGAAGATTTCACTATGCAGTGTGCTAGAAATTATGTCAATTCTTTTGATGCTTTTCTCAGTTTTTTTTGAAATTTTCAAACAATTTTCGAAAATCAGAGTTTGTGAGCATCCAGTTTTTGATAAGTATGTGGCGATTTTAGGCTTTTGGTGTAACCTGGTGTACTAGGCGTATGGCAGTCCTTCCTAGGATAATGAACAAGTGATTCAGTGTGTTCATCAGCGTAAATTAACAAGTTGCTCAAACGAGCGCAGAGAGAATAGTGCGGGCCTACGCGCTCAGAATTGATGCAAAAAAGAGATTCGCCATCGGCAGGGATTTGGCATGGCCAGAACCAGTGAGCGACCGAAAGTAGAAAATCCTGAAAAGTGCTGTAGAACATTAGAGATACCAGCGCGTTGATAAAAGCTTGGACATAGACAAAGTAGTGAGATTCTGAGGTGCTTCGGATATTTAACTGAGTGGAACAAGAAGGATGAAAAACAAAAAGAGGATTCGTAAAATCTTGGCAAAGAAAATACAAGAGTTTAGAGTGCGTTCAAAGGGTAGCAAATGCCCAGACAGCTGTACTAGCAACAGCACGACCCAAGGCGAAGGATTGGGCTAGACTGCGCGGCGTACACGGCGTGCGCGACGTACGCAGTGTACGCCATATCTTTGTTCTTTGTGAGCGTACGCTGTGTGCGTCGAATACTCCGTGTACGAGCGCATTCTGGCACAACCCGTATATAGTAGGCACGCAGGTACGCATGGATCAACAGTTCCATATTGGCGACAGTATACTGCTACAGCCCCTGCAAAATTTCAGACACTCGCACCGGTCGGCGGCCGCATAAATTCCGGCTGGTGGGGATGTTGTCAGTTTCACTCAGCCGCGTAGTCTACGCCCGAGAATGGTACGTAATGAATAACACAACCTTTCTCTAATAAAGCCAAAAAATTAGACTTTTTTGTACACGAGCAGATGACATTTACATGGGAACATCCATTCAACGCAGGAGTTAACGCGTCGGACCCCTGTTTCTTATGAATTGACCGATGAACTACTGTACTCTTGCCTTCTTTATGGGTGGAAGAAACACAGCGAACATCTGCAAATGATAAGCTTTTGACACATGATTCTTTTGATAATGACTTACCAGCCCAAGAATTGCTATATATCAGTGAATGGAGCAACTCAGAAGCCTAAGCAAGCAGGAAATGCTCAGTGAATGTCTCCCTTAGAGCACTCTCCGGGACTAGTTTCAATCAAAAATTTATTGAGGACCCATTTACCCTTTTGAAGTGTAGCAGAGATATAAGCATAGGATAAACGAAAATCCTCAGAACATGAAGATTCCAACATCCGTAGATATACAGTAGAATCCCAGCGTAATCAGCAGAGGGAAAGTATCCACGAATCCTCGCTAAGTATAGCTAGTTGTTGGTTGAAAGACCATCCATACTCTTTAGCATAAGTGAGAAGTTGATCCCGATAGCATAACCATGTCATGCTGCTTCCATAAGTAGAATTTAATTTCAATACCATGCATGTCGCAGTTATCAACTAAAACATAGACGTGGAACATGTTCATCTTTTTTTGTCCAATTCAGGAGAGTTAGCGCGAAACATAGTCTGTATAGTATCATGTAACCGGCACGTTTCAACTTGCTATTTCCTGTTGGCTATTCAAGACCAATGAGAATTGAAGAAAGTAAGCACAACGAACGTGTTTTGGAATTTTTCGTTCATCTCTGATAAAGGGACCAGTTTAGCAAAGACTAAATAACACTGAGTCATAATGCGGAGTTCTGGGTGTCTTCGGGTACATTGTGGCAGCCATAATCTTCAGACACAGGAACAAAGCATAATCAAAATAAAGAAATCGCGAACCAGAAAAAAAAAGAAGTAGAGCGAGCCTTCCCTGTAAGGCTCTATCATGTAATGTTCGAATTTCTTGCACTCCCGCACCTTGGTTTCATGGCTCCTACCGGCTGGCGCCCGTTCGAGTGACTACCATGGGTCAGATCTTTTGGCGCAGTCACCGGTCGGCATTAAACTCCACCTATATTTATTGTCTGGCCGCCGACCGGTGCGTGTGTCTGAAATAGATTAGTCTTGTGAAAATTAAGACCAGCGCAATGATACGCGCAGCTTGCAGGTTTAATCTTCAAATTAATAGGCTACGCGTTGTTTATATTTAGCAACTTCTATATCAAACTAGGCGTGATACCGTTTTATAAGGCAAATATGGACTGCTGCTTTCAGCAATCTGCTTCGAGCACCGGAAACATCAGCAACAGTAGGGAGGCTCGGTTGCTTGTTCAGGTAAGAGCTTGACATTTTTTCAATTGCTAGCGTAAATTCATAGATTATTCAGCAAATTTCAAACGGAAATAAAATAGTTGCAAATAAACAGAGTTGTGAGACAGCATGTTACTTCAACCGCAACAACTACAAATGAATTTTATAAGTCTTAACGTCATGATTTACAAATTTTACGGAGTTGCCATCTTTTGATTAGAGATTTTCGCTTATTCGAGTGTTAGTGAAACATGCCTAACGATTTTTGAAGCTGTTTTTTTAATGAGCATTGGTACATATATTTTAGGCGCTAAGAATTTCAAAGAAACATTCAAATTCCAATTTGAAATACTTTAGTTTTTGTGCGCATATTTGATCTACGTGGCGACGTGGTCATGGTGGCTATGGCTGCCATATCTGCCATTTGCAGAGTGGGTTGGCTTTATGACGTCAACATTCTACTATCTCAACAATGTGGTAAGTTTGCCGTATATCTCTGGCAAAATTCATTGCTATTCAAGGCAAACCCGACAGTATATCTTATATTTAACAAAAGCTTGCGCCAAAAAGTGTTTCATTTATTTTGTCGTAAGACCAATGAAGCATCTGTCGTTTTCGTGTCCATGAGAACTGCAGAGGAAAGGAAGGTAAGGCATTACGTGATTCATTTGCAAAAAGGACATAAAGCAGCATTTTTTTAGTTGTGATCACCGCCATCGTACTCAGGTTGTGTTTTACGACAAAGCCAACTCAACCCAGCCACCGACACTTTAAAAGGGCCTCAAAAATTTCGAAAATTTTTCTTTTATTATTTCTGATTGTGAGGGCGCTCATCATTATGTTTAATAAAATGCGTAACTTCTTGCTTCATGAAAACAACGTCATGGAACTAAACAATGAGTAAAACCTGTTTTCTCTACCATTCCATTTAGATTAGTTTTTTTCTGAACGAGGGCAAACATACTCAATATAATGTCTTTTAGAGACGTTTAAAATTGAATGTCCTTTTGTGGCTCTGCTTGTACCAAGTGGATGGACATGTTGAAGAGCGTAAGGGAGAAGCCGGGAGCGTTGACCGTGCGGGCCACTTTGAAGGCAAATTTCTCGGCGTAGAAGGGCTCGGATTTCGGACTTGAAGAAGTCGCCGTTCAGAGGTTCCTTTAACAAAATATGTGGAGACTTACGCGGGGGGATTACTTGTGAGTGTAAATTAGAAGCTGTCGCGACGCGGCGTTACAGTAACCCCGAAGAGAGGCAGCAGGGTCAGAGGAAATATTCAGGGGTCAAGTTAATATCTAGTGAGCAAAAAGTTTCATTTCCTGATTAGCATAGTAAATTCTATATTTCCCTTATCTTCTTTTCTTTCTGCAAGTGCTCTAGCCAAACTTTCATCAAACAAAAAAAATTAATGTGGCAATGTAGAAACCATTACAGAGAAGGATCAGTATGGCTGTGTAAGTCGGCTACCCGAGTTCTCCGCGCACCTATTGCTGCCAGCCTGTCGCGCGTGGCGACTCGTAATTGACAGTCACAAGTAGTGGGATACACTCCACCTCCAGTATACCGGAAAACATCATGAACTGACATGTAAAAGTTTAGAGATATTAACCTTTGAAAATGCTTCGTTTACTGAAACGGATTAAGGTAGCAGAAAGATATTATTGCCATTACAGTATCGCACAAGGAGAAAAGAGATTATGATTAGAGTCGAGCAAGAGGTGTGGCACGCAAGCGCCGACTACGACCCCCCCCCCCCCCCCACCAGCATTATCGTTTGTCTACCGTAGGCATGACAAGGACATGCTGTAAAGTTCGCCTCCTCCTGTATATACCGATATGTGTCTCTACATTCTCCAACCAACTTCTGACTATTACTAAGAATGTTTTCATCGAAAAGAGACCTATCTTTCTAAGAAGACTAATTAATCGAACCATCGAAAAATTCCTATTTGTAAACTGAACCGTTTACGTCTCTGCCTGTTTAGCGGCTGTTGAATCCTTAGCCTTTCTATGTTCGTTGGGAAATTTTGTACAGCAAGTGACGCACAAGTCTCATATTGCTACAGTCTTTGATCTATTCGTAATAATGGGAGCGAGGATTTGAGCTGCAATAAAAAATTTGAAACACATTTTCATTCTCACAGCTGTCAATTTCAAGAAGCATCAAGGAAGTCACCATTAGCATCATTGTCTTTCTAACGCAGAGCACCATCATAACTTATAATAACGGGCTAAGGGTTGTTTACGTTTGTGTGTGTGTGTGTGTGAATTTCTGTCTGTCACGAAATTCGTAGAGCGACTTCCAGCCAAGGTTTTGAGCTAGAATTTTGGTAGTAGCACCCTATCAGCAAGTAGGTAAAATGTGCAAAAGTACAAGCCGATCCGATAATTGGAACCTGTGAAATTGTGCGCCAAACGGATCCACGCGACATTTCGCGCGCCAAAATGGGCCTGTAATTGGATTTCTTTCGAAGTCATGGTTTCGTTTAGCAAGTAAATCCGCAAACCATGGACCCTAGCCCGAAAAGTGAGCAAAAAGTTTACTTTCGCGCAAGATCGGCGCCAAAAAGGAATAATTGCATAGATGATCGATTTGTCAAGGTTTTACCTGGGAATGCGGGACAATTTTTGCTCAGAGATGTAACTCACGGTTGCCATCATCTTTACGGCGAGTATCAAGTCACTATAACCCCAATAACTGATTCAAAGTCGCATTTAATCTTTTGAAGAATACTTTCTTTCCCTTGAAGTCACCGATCTTAATGAAAAAGCTTTTGAAATGAGTAGTTGTTTACATTTCATTCGTGATGATCGGCATCGCGAGGTAAGTTTCAAAGCCATCATTTTGCGACTACGAGGTTGGTATGTGGATAGTACAGCCAGTGCGAGCCTCTGCGAAGCAGAGGTGACGCACTGGTTACTAATATCACAAATTTATAATGATAGAACAATCTACTCACCTAAATCAATGAAAGCATTATGAAATGTAATAGCAAATTTAGAGAATAGGCGTATCAATGGAAATCACTCTTGAAGCTGAAGATTTGTACAGATGCACAATGCCTAAAAGAAGTGTTTCTGATCTTGGGAGACCACCGAAGCATTGAATATGCATAAAGCAGTACAATGTGCAAAGCGTCATTAATATCCACAAACTCAGATTTTTGTACGCACATATCAAAATGTTCACTTTGTGCATGACTATGTTTGCCACGTCAGTTCATCGAACGGTCTAACCTAGTTTATTGGTGAGCTAACGCAAGAGTAAAAACCTTGTGGAGCGCTTTGAGGTAGGTGTTGCCAGGCAAGCAATACGATGTAATTTCTAAACTTTTTGAAATACACTTAGGCTGAGTTCATACTGATCCGCATGTTCCGGAACTAAGCTTGAATTGTGCGCTGTGCTGGAACTGTTCCGGAACTTGCAGACCAATATGAACCGACTCATGAAATTATGATGTACCAAGTTAACAAAAGTTGTTTGCATTATCCGATTTCGCTGCAAATACAAAACATACGAGAACATACAAACATAAACATACGGAAGAAACAGGCAAAGCATGCAAACGTATCTACCCTTGGAATGTGAAACGGTAATTTCTTCATGGACCAAGTTTTAGCAAATATTGAGGGTTCCCAATAGTGGACCATCCAAATGAAGTGGTCATCTTCGTACATGATTAACTTCGATGAAAGTAGTCTAGCATTTTTTTGATTTCTGGCTCTCACTTTGTTTATCTCTGAGAATTTCGTAGTTGAATTGGTCTTCAATGAACCCTTTGGTCTGCAAAGGTTACTTGTCTTCGAGTGTATGTGCAATGCAGTTCTTGTCTTCAGAGCACTTGGTAAGGCACTTTTTTTGTCTCCATGGATGTATAAGTATGTACGACCAGAGTAGAGCGAGGGGTGTGGCACGCAAGCACCGAATACCCCCCCCCCCCCAATCTTCCGTGTAAATACCCCCCCCCCCCCCACCAGCATTATCGTTTGCCTACCGTAGGCATGACAAGGACATGCAAAGTTCTACCATACATAATTCGGCAAATATTCGTGTTTATCATGTCAAAAAATCTTCATGGGCCAAGTTTTAGCAAATACTGAGGGTTCCCAATAGTGGACCATTCAAATGAAGTGGTCATCTTCATACATGATTAACTGATTTAAAAATGGATCAACTTTTTTTGCACTCAATACAAAACATTCCTCACTGTTTACCCATATCAGTTTGATAGCCTGAGTCTTGTAGTATCAGGAGTAATTTGAACCTGATTCATCTTCTTCGCTCTGAGTAAAAGCTGGTGAAAGCGCAGCCATTGAAAGCGAAAAATGGGACAAACGAGACTTTGGCTTGCTCTCAATTCCAGAGTTTGAAGGTCAGTTGAAGTGGGAGTCTCAATATAAGCGAAGTAGTATACTTTGTATTGAGTGCAGAAAAAAGTAATTTACTTACCTTTTGAAACAAAGTTAACATGTTCGAAAATATCCACCTCACTCAAGTGTCCCAGTACTTGGGAACCTCAAAATTCGCTGAAACTTGGCCCACAGCAGTGGTGGACCTAGGGAGGGGGAGCGGGTGGGGGCGCCTCCCCCCCCCGAGAATGGGTCGCGAAATTTTTGAAATTCACTTAGGGTTATAAAAAATGGGTTATAAAAATGTGCAAATAACTTGGTTACTCTTGTAAACAATTGAAATATTTTTGAAAATTTTTAAAAATTCAAATTAGCCTCGCATGGCTGACGCCACGCCCGCTTTTTCAAGATTTTAGGGGTTATGGGCCCGCAAAAATTTTAAGAAGCACCCCAAAAAATTTTTCGGAGTGCGTGGCTAACGCCACGCACCTTCATTTGAAAAAAATTTTTTTGTCGCCCCCCCCGGTCTGAAATCCTGGGACCGCCACTGGCCCACAGGGATAATTCGACATGCTAATAAAGAAAATAATGCTCTTAAGCTTTTAGGATTCTTCTGTTATGCTTACTCTACGTATACGACAATGCCAAAACACCAGTGCTAGCTTGCACGATGGGCCTACCAGATATTGTTTACCGACATCATGTCGTTAACATCATTATCGCGTCGATAACGACCCCCCTTCCTCTCCCTGTCCCCTCTACTGCCTCCCAGGTGTGGCCTGCCACACCCCACGCTTGACCCTGATTATGATCCAATAGCTGAATATGTACCTATACTTTCCTTTATTAAAAAAATCAATGTACCTTGTGTATCTGCGCATGTCGTTACATTTGCAAATTAGAAACGCAAGTAGAACGTTTGCAGCAAGCGAATACGCAGCTAATGAAATCCACGTCTCTCCACAACATCATCATTTGTTTGTTGGTCCATGAGTCATGCAGGGCTAGAAAATTGATAATTTTCGGTTTCCCCTGGTAAATTTTTTGCTACAAGGAGCGTGTGTGAGCATTTATAGGTGCATAGATATCATGGAATACCGTCGCAAATCAGCTGAAAAAATGCAGAATTTCTGCTTAAAGGCAAGTTTTAGGAGCAGTGTACGTGTGAGAGCAAATTAAAGTTAAAAAGCGGAGAAGTGCTTCTTGAAGAGGAATGGCGCAGCTCCACCAAGGCAACTGTTTTGACCATTTACTTACACAAAATTGAGAGCCAGAAATACATTGGTGCAATTCGAAGATATGAAGTTGAAACTCGAGGTGCCTGTCATGAGTCCCCAATTCATGATTTGTTACGAAGTCACTGTGCATTCTCACAGTGACGGGTAATGTTTAGCTTTATGTTTTGAGAACGGCAATAGCTTTTG